GCTCGTGAACAAATTCTTCAAGGATGTGAGTGTCACTGAATTCTTAATAACAGCAGGAAGGGGTATGTCAACTAAGAAGGTTACAATTGATCAGAGAAGCTCCAGGTTACGCTACTGTTGCGATATTACGCTGAGCGAATATTGCGGAGAAGTGTCTAAAATACAAATTTTTTGATTAGCTAGGTGTGATTATGTTGCTAAGGATTCACCGAAGACGTTCGACCGTTCGAAGTGGTTCATCAGTAAAGAAAAAGGGAATAAAAATTAATGGAAACACCGAGATGCAACCGTTCTGCATTGCACGAGCATATGTAGACGGCGTATGATACGGACGATTCAAGAGCTGTGCACTAAAGCTACAGAATAGGCTCTGAGACGATGTAACATAACGGAATAGAGAGACGCAGATGTCCATTGGTGCGCTGACATTGATGCAGCGTTCTGTTAATGCCTATTCTGAGCCCTTAGCCCTCGTCGCACATCTTGAGTCGCGAAGACAGCCACTGCTGTCGCAGGCTCATCTACCTTTTTTTACGGGAGAGTTTTTTCACTAAGCCCATCGTAGTTCATGCCTTCAAAACACCGCTCACGAATTTCACATCTTGTGGGATGAGAATTCCTAGTATACATATGCGGTCATCCTTGTGGTGTCACAAATTGTCCGCTGAGACAAGAAACCGGGTATGAGTATCAGAGGGTGTAGGTTGAATTCCCTGTTGTGGAGGAGTTGTTCTTATAAGTGTTTTTTCTATCAGCAAATTCGTCGCTTTTTTCGTCGTTTCTCGGACCATTCCCGATTGCGAAAACAAAAATAATTTCAGAAGGTCCTCCCAGATTTGTCTAGAAAGGTGTGGCGTGCAGTGTCGAGTGCAACCCTTGAATTATTTGAATTCGATAGAGTCAAAGCATCAAACGGTCCTATGATTGTGCACGGCGGACGAACGCATGGGTCGTCCTGGAGGGGTTGATAAATTCCGAGTATTCGGGCCACATGTTTTCTTCGTATTAATACTGAGAAATATGTAATTTTTTTTCAGCTTTCGCGCCACTCACAGTCTACACAGAGGGTGCGAGACGCTTGTAGCGCTCTTCGGTCAAAGATACTCGTTCATCTTATGCACAAATGCCTCCAGTACGGTAACTATATAAATCAGGTTAGTCCGTTGGACATGTCAAATTGTGAGGAGTGCAATAGAAAAATGATGTTCAAGGGTACACCACTGTCAAGAGCTGTCGGTTTCTCGTTGTCTTCATTGCCTTCTATTTTAAGTGCGAAAGGAAAGGTGTGTGAAATTCTTATAGCAGCGACTATTGAAATATTTGTATAGTATTTATTTTCTACCACCTTCAAAGACTTTCTTTTACAGCAAAGTAGCAGTTCGAACGTGCGGCTCGTTGATCTTCTCGCTCAATTTGTTGAATTTGATACCCTGGCATTGGAAGATGTGATTTCTCGTCTGCAAGCAGCAAAGGTAGCTTTGTATCCATATTGTTGGAATTTTCGCCGAGCACTAGAACTACGCAGAGAAAGAATCGAGGAATTTTTCTCACAGGAAGTATAATGCTCACTGACCTCTTTTTCGGGAGCGAATTACAAGGCGTTTTGTTCGATTCAATGAGCCGTGGGAAAACGATAGTCGAGGAGCGCCAATTCCGTACCGTCACAAAAAAGTATCATCAAAGGGACCATCCCTCGTGTGTGTGAAGATAACATGTGTGTTGCTCACGATCTTAGAAACCACCGGGGCAAGTCGTTGGTTTCTCGGGACTTATAGTCGCTCAGGAATCTGTGGCTTTGTTTTTCTTTCGTGTAGAAAGCAGTTGGAAGAATGAAAGCGTACTGAAACATACGTACGTCGCACGAAGGGGGGGTTGTCTGAGAAGGGATGGCCGAGTGTTTCCAGAGTCACTCAAAGAAGGCACCGACTTTCATCTGGATTGCTCTCTCTTCATTATACATCTACCCCGTCTAACAAGTCACTCTTGCTTCTATTGTCTGCGAAAGTTATTACGCATCCAGAACACAACATATTATATTTTTCTATTAGTCCTAGTTATTCAGAAAAGTTGTCTGATAAATGGTAAAGGACAAAATACTGATTTTGACGTCACCTGCCGAATTGAATCTAATCACTTGTGTGATTCCCGAATAGAAATACTAGCATGGGCGCTTCGCAGCTTAAAGGCAACAGAGTCGCCAGCACGGTTTTACCTTCGACCACTTATGTGCTGGAACGATGCGCTACAATCTAGAAACACTAACAATCGGCTACAATCCCCTCAGCCGATTGATAACCACGCCCACTTCGAAGCTGTTCAGCTCCCTTTCTAGCGGCTTTCCAAGGTGAGTTTTTTGTTCAGTCACACTTTTTATGTTCTTGACTAGGGCTAGCGCATCGTTCCACACCATTAGTGTCGAAGGTAAAAACCCTGCTGGGACTGTTGCTTTGGGTGAATCGAACAACCACGCTCTTCTTTTCCTTGTCGTTATGACTCCATTAAAAAATACAATCATGTTGGGAGGTGCCTTTGAAGCCTTTTGTAAATGGCAGCAACCATTATTTTCAAGGTCAACCACCCTGGACGACATCGAGAGGCGATCCAAGGAGTTGACGTCCTCGGTTAAGCGATTAAAGCATCAGCTGACTTCGAGAGGAGGCGGCGATGTTTCGCTGATGGAAGCATACCAGCCGTTTTTAGAGGTGAGGTATTTTTGTGCTTCTGGCGCACAGACAATCAAAATGTATAGGCTTTTTCAGGTGGCAGAGTCAAGTTGCTCAAACCTGGCATCTGATTTGCAAAAACTTCGCTCAGAAGAAAGTTCACTTCAGTCATTCTTGTGTGCTAATACCATGAAGTTGGAGGAGATTGCATCGGTCACCTCTGAAGCCTTAACTATGCTGTTTGATTCTATAAAGGTGAGACAGTGTGCTACTATCTATTCTATATTTTATTGCACCAGATGTTCTTAGGTTTCGTTTTACTTGCCTCTCTTGCCTGGCCATTAAATTAGGAATGAAGTTTTCGACTTCTCGACCATGTCAATTTCGTTTGGCGTAGGTAGAATTTTCGCGTTCGAGAAACTTCTGGAACACACCCCAGGGAAATTGTGTTCCCATCTTAAAGAAGCTTTGCTTGCATCTCCCTTTTCCACACCCATTGAATTTTCTCCGTTAGTATACAGTCTGATCGTTCGATAATGAACTAGTAGGCACGTAATGTCAGCTCTGGCGGATGCATAAAAATGTTTGACCCTGCTACCGCCTTCGGTGTACTCCGTTTTCCACTTCGGAGCTGTTTACTTACAGACTCCGATGATAAGGCCCCTGGGTGCCGCGTTTCTAGTGCAGACTGTAGGAACTAACCGATGTCGGCACAAAAAGTCGCTTTCTAATCGCCTCTGGTTCCCTCTCGCTTATTTACTTGGCCCTGTGAAATTCTTTTTTTAATAATATAAATCCAAACTTATTGATTGTATTGTCATTTAGAAACGTGCCTTGGTGAAGGTGCGATCTGCATCGACGACAGCGGGCAGACAACTGGCCGGACGTGAGCGCTTCTCAATGCAACGTCGAAGTCTCCAGCCGACCCGTTTGAGTGTGGAAGAAATGCGTGAAATGTTCCTCGAGGCAGCGAATCAATGAAAGCAGAGTCGTTAAAGAGAAGCACCTCTGAGAGGTCTGAATCGCAATGTGTACGGTCTTCTCCTAGTCCTTTTTCTCCCGATGATACTACCTTACCCCCGTTGCTAACCCGCTGCACTAACTGTCCAATACTGACATTCTTGTGAACTATGGTAACATTTACCATTCCTGTCACTCCCACTGTTATCCCCATGACCCTGTCACCCTTGTACATCGATCTCTTAACTATGTACATTAAAATATATACGTGAAGGTGCCGTATTGTATTGGCTATACTAACTCAAAAAGTGCTATCAATAAAATGTACGATTCATTCGAATTGCTTTGCGTTGTCAGTATAAGTTCGAACTTATTTATTTCCCTTCAGAAATGTGCCATTCAGGAAACTTTTTTTGTTTATGGGCGCAGAAGCGCTAGGTGAAATCACCAGAAGTTGTTAAAATGTAGCAGAGAGGAGTTCGTTACTCATTTAAAGGAAGGAACCCAGGTAGGCCAGTTGAGCCACGACAGTCGACATAGTTTTCAGGACAGATGGTTGAAAGACCATTTGGAATTTATAGTTATTTGCGATCCATGCAACACCCTGAATCTTGCCTTCCAACAGCTCTACCTTTGAAAAATGATAAATTTCTGATGCAAGGCGAAAGCTCTAAGAGTGTTAGGCCCGCTGGAACGGGCCTATAGAAACCCGTGAAGGAAGTGGGCCCACGCTAGGTTTGCGTAGAAAACCTAGCTAGTAAGTGCTCGGTCTGACGAGAGCGTGACATAAGGATTCATGACCTTCCTAAGGTGCTTACGCCTCGCAAGAACCTGCACATCATGGTTTGCGGGCAATCTGATTGTCCATTATACCAAGGAGAATAATCCTTTTAGCTTTCTGTCATATTTTGGCAATTCTTACAACTATTCGAACTTACAACGATCCGAGCTGGTTTGCTAAAATCACAATGAAGGCATGAAAGGAGGAGGAGAATGAAGGATTAGCCGTATTCACCTGTTCCATTCCCGATTGTGGTAGAGAGGTGACAGGCTTTGATGTCGTGCTTCAAAGAGCACGACAAGGCGCCAGAAGCTTGCTTGACCCACAACCCACACCTTGATCCGCAAGCGCCCTTCCGCGGTCGGCCACGTAACCCTGCGAGAAAAGCGCGGGCGTGGTTGCGGCGGCGTTTGCATTGCCGTTCAACGTCAGTGCCACTGGAGCAACTGGAGCTAGATTCGCGAAACTCGCCCATCACGCTTTCCAGCATCCAAGATGGAATAGTGCTGGAAAGGAGGGGTCTTCTAGAGCGTAATCGGCGGTTTCTTTTACATTCTTTTCCTTTTCCAGACCCCTCCCCTCCTCCAGCTTCGTTATACTCCTTTAACATCTTTTTCACCACGAGTCCGTCCTACACAGTTTTTCTGTCTCGTTGTGACTGCGTTGGTTCCTGAATGTTGCCGTAAGGTGGAAGTCCAGCACTTCGCAGTGTGGTGTCGAGACTTCACTCAAATATTTCCAAGAAAGGGGTGGTGAGCCGAAGCGACCGTCCGCAATTGAATAGAGACGTGGGAATTACTCCTCCCTCAATGCGTGCCCGTGCGCCGCTGACTCGGAAATAGTCTCAATATTCGTTGAAAACTCTGAAATGGTGAGCCGAAGCGACCGTCCGCAATTGAATGAAGACGTGGGAATTACTTCTCCCTCAATGCGTGCCCCTGCGCCGCCAACTCGGAAATAGTCTCAATATTCGTTGAAAACCCTGAAATAGCCATGAAGTACCCCGAGCTGCTACGGAGTGTAATGTGTGAGGCTTAGAGTACGCCGTAGCCTGCACTACAAGTTTCTTAGTGAAGAGCAGTAGTTTGGAAACAACTTTTGGGCCACGGGTCAAGCAAAACAATTCAGAGGTGCTGGCATTCGGGTGTTTTCTGTTGTCCATGCCAGCCGAACCACGGTTGTGGGTATGAACAACCACTGTGGCAAGTGTTAACATCATGGGGCCATATGATGCTCTTCTCTCATGGAGACTCGCTACTACATCCGATCCTATCCTTCCTTTCCCACCAGCGAGTTTCATTGGATCCGCTGTACCTCTGCAACCCTCACTATTGGGAACACTATTCCTTGAGCAGTCACGCTCCTCCAACTGTCAGAAAGGTAGTAGCGGCATAGTGAAGGTACTCTACCGGCGACGGAGAACTGCGTGGAGAATTAACACCATCTCTCTTTCCAATGCCATCATCCCTGTGCTACTTCGTTGCTTGAATCGCCTTTAACGTGTATCTTACTCGTATCTGCACTCATTCCGGTTCTCGGTGCTATACAAGTAGGGTGGGCACGCCGCATTTTTTGAACAGAAATGTATGTAAGTGGGACTGCTGCCCGCTACTATACTGTCACGAGAATCGGGGAATTCGTGAGCCAGGGGGAGTGTAGCCAATCTAGGGGGGGGGGTGAGGGCAGTCACTTGACATGCGTGAAAAGCTGGGCGTGCCCACCCACTTGTATAGAGCACGGTTCTCTTTGTACGCTCTTTACACTCCCATTTCAAACTTATCCTACTTCCTCCATGTTCTACCAATTGAGGATTGCAGTAATTATGCATTTGTTATTAAAAATCTATTTATTATTAATTATTCGCTGCTCAGCAACATGAGAAAAAATATTAGATGAGGGATTAAGACAGGTTGTCGTCCAAAAAAATGAATTCGGGTCGGATATTCCGGCATGAATTTAATCTTAACCGATCAATATTGGAAGCGATGTGGTGGTGTTTGGCAACGATGTGGCACTTGTTTGCCGGTGTATCGACTAGCCCTGCCAGGGCAAGACCGTCTATGAGGGCCCGATCTGAAAACCGAAAAACCTTTGTGTTATAACAAAACCGACGAGGGACAGTAGTCGGGGGCTGGAGAAGAGACGAACGAGTACACAAGGGCAGATACAGCCAGATATAGCCTCGCAACTTCCTAAAAACCAAGTTAACTCAAGTTTTGACTGACCAGGTAATCAAAGTTTGATCACAATAAGTCAATGGCGATCAGTGAACTTTGGACCCCACGGGCCACCCTTCCGCCCTCCCACACCGCCCAGTCGTCGGTCGTTGCACCCGCACGTGCGGTTTTTTTTTCACTGTTTTGCCACATATTCCTTTTATCTTAACTTGATTAGGTTTCTCTGACTGCTATCAATACGTAGTAATCGTTAGGGGAGGGGGGGGGGGGGAGGAGGTAGTGCTCGAGCTGATTTTCAAGCCACATCAAACACTTCTTTTCGTCACTTTGGGATTTTTTTTTGTTAATGCGCGCACCGCGATGCATTCTCCCACGTGAAATTAGGGTGCTACACAAGTAGGGTGGGCACGCCGCATTTTTCGAACGGAAATGTATGTAAGTGGAACTGCTGCTTGCTAGCATACTGTCACGGAGTCGGGCGCTGGGCGTGCCCACCCCACTTGTATGGCACCGAAATTAGGTTCGGTGTAGGTAGTAGGAAGCAGGATCAGCGTCATGCTTGCCCTTCTCCAGAAATGCTGATTAGTGAGTTTTGGACCCCACGGGTCATCTCCTGCCCTCCCCTTCCCCAGTCGTCGTTCGTCCACCGCCACGTGCTGTAGCATTGTTTTTTTTTGTGTCGTTTGTTGCCACAACATATTTCAGTGTCTCTGATCTAATCACTTTTTTAGGTGCTATGTTAATATCGAGAAGGTGGGATGGGAGGGGGTAGGGGAGGCATTAGGGGCAGACCATCCAGCTGCACTCAGTGACAAACACTTCCTTCTGTA